GGAGTACAGGATTCACCACCAAAAGGGAATAAGATTTCGTTAGATGTCACACTTTGGGCTATATATCTCTTACCATTTGAGTGTAAGCATCTACAGCCCTCGTGTTTTATACTGTATCCAAGGATTACACACTTTGAGGTATGAAATCCTACTTGTTGAATCAGGTAAATGCATTTTCAAACAGTTATTCAGCGTAATTTTTTTTCCACCTTTAGTGATTTGATATTTGAACCATCGTATGCTCGTTGTTTTACGTGAACTCAACAACATTGTATTGCACTTGAAGAAGAAATGAAGAACTCAAGTCCTCTTGTCTCTTCTAATTTACCTTTTGTTTATGTGCAGTTTGCTGTATGAAACTGTCTATTCGTGGTCGGCAAATACTCCGTACTAGACGGAAGAGCAAATCAGTCTAGATCGAAGGTAAATGAACTTTCGATCTGGTGATCCTCTCTTCGTTTGATTGTAAGCATTAACTGTCTTTAAGTTTCTAGATGCAGACCTAACGTTGGGTTACTACAGGTTTAATAATTTCTCTAAAAGGGTATATAATGATTGTACTCATTCGAATAATCTATGTAGGACTCTCTTTAGTATGTTGGAGAATTTTCCCAAAGAATGTCACTCTGGACATTAGAAATTGAATCAAATGAGGAAATGACAAATCAAGATCAAGGGACAATGCGGATCGGTTCGATGTCGAAAGAGGATGGACTGGCTTCGTATATGCTCGTCCATACACACACGGCTTAGCACGTGAGCACTAGCATGCTGTCATGCCATTGTCATATAGGCACTATGTTGCTATGTGAATTATTTCCGTTTAATTTTGACCAATGAAAGTTAATTTATGTATGGATACAATTTTATGAGCTCATTTTTTATTTTGATACAAAGCTAAGTTAATACAAAGTCTTGGTAAATTACACAACGTAAAGTTCATGTATAGCTCCGTAACATTGTCCTAACCAGAAATGATTGTGCCTTGGATCTAATGCGTATTTTCAGTATTAATTCTCTTGCAGTTTGTACCCTTAATTTTTTTTTAAAAATTCCGAATCTTGAATATTAGAAACCTCCACTTGTTGCACTCTACAAGTTCGACATGATGATTAAAAAATAATAAATCATATTGAATAAGAAAATAAAATTAAAAACCTTGTTTATCTTTCTAGGTGAGTAAAAAGCACGTGGCTGAGAAAAATCTGGTGCAATCTACGAAATTCAACGTTTGAAGGATCCAAAAGGTAAAATACACAAACTTTAGGGTGTAAAAAGAACAAAAATGATATTATTAAGTCTGACCAAGTCAAAGGGGCATTTGTAAATTAAAGAAAATCGAGAGGCCAACTATAATATTCTACTCGAAACAGCGTACACTCAACGCCGTTGACTTGCAATTGTGAGATAATCTAAGATTATTTGCAATTGTATTTGCTTTTTTCTTGGATCAAAACCAGTTCAGGAACAGGGAGGGAGTTTCCAATTTTTTCTTCTGCAATCCGTAAGTAACCATATGACTCTTGATGCATTTCTGTATATGTATGTATATACGTACACCTACAATAATTCACTCTTGTGATAATCGTATTCAGATTTAAAAGTTGTTTTGTAATATAAAATGCCAGCTATTATTTGACAACTGGTTTTTTTTGTTTTTATTCTTGATTTGTCAGCCATTCGTTCATATCTGTAGACCAAGATTATTCCTGTATCCAACTAAGCCATATTGATTATTGGGATCGGTCAATCATTCTCAAATTTTTGAGTGTTGGACCAATTCTGCAAATCGGTTTTGCTATTGATTCAGATCAGTTTTTGTCCGTTTTCAGTGAGGAGCCAGGAAAATGCCTCTAGGGGAGCTCTTTCTTTCTGCATTCA